CTTATTCTTGCTTTTGTAACTTCGAATTGAATTTTTTTGCTGTTGTAAACAGAAAAATAGTTTTTACGAAATATGGATCTTTGTAACTGTGGTGGCCCACTTGGGAGATGTTGACCGCTATACTTTTTAAATTTTCATATAATGCACGATTTATAAAAGATACAATGTAGCGAACATTTTATGTACGTGGACGATGAAAACCTTTGAACTATACACGACTTCACCAAATATGCAGATAATGATTTCAGGGATAGGGTAGTAGGGTAGAGTTATACCAAGGGCCCAGCACAAGGATACTTAATACAAAAGTATTGAGATATGTATAACCGAGAAATCAGCCATCAAACTTAAGAGTAATAGACCATAATTCGGGATGGGTGTATCTCAAATTGGGTAAATTGTAAAAGGTAGATAAGGGGAAACTCACTCCGTATCGGCTATACGTAGGTGAATCATAGCTGGAGCCGCTCAGATAAGAGGAGGTTGTGCGGTAGGCGGACGAGCTAGTACCGGAACCGCCGCTCAGATACGACGAGGTGGAACCAACGCTGCTCCGCTGCAGGCTGGAGCGAGGCGCATACGACGAGCCGGAGGAGGCGCTGTTTGCTGAGTACGTCGAATACGAACTGGGATAGTAGCTGCTGCCGTAGCCGGACGACGAGTTTGAGCCACCAGACGAGGTTGGCAGCCACTTGGACAGGCTGCTACCGCGTTCGTAGCTGCTCGAGTAGCGGGAATAACCGTTCGTGGTGGCGCCTCCGCTGGGCCGATCCACCGCACCACTGCCAGTGGTGGTGCTGGTGGAGCTGCTGATGTGATGGCTGCCGCTGGTACTGCTGTCGCCAGAGGTGCCGGCTGACGATGTGCCGTAGAGACTGCCGCTGCCCGCCGCTGATGTTGACGATCTTCGCGGCGCAATTACACGCATATTAGTGGCAGCAGGGGCAGTGGTCTAACTCCGGGTTCAGGTTGAAGTCGAGAGTGTCCTTAACTTGTTCTGGTTGCAGCACGTGGTATTGCTGAGCGGGTGATTCCGGTTGGTCTTGCTTCCGTTTCTGTTATTCGTCGGCTTTACATGTACATAAAAGTATTTAAGTCCATTAGTGTTCAATTTAATCTTCGAAATTCATAGATGTACCCACCTGCACTTCGTTATTTACATTATCCTTGAATTATTTTCCTAGCATTAGCTTAAACTTAATTGATGCTTATGTGCTACATCTAAGACCCGTTATGGTTGCTACTAAGGTTGCAGACAAAACTGAAAAGAAAAGCAGTTGGGGTATTGAGGGTTTATACAAAATATATAAATAAATAAGTACATAAGTATTATTAATACGCAAATTATATATTGACGGTTTATAATAAATAAGTAAAATTTCAAGTTATGCAGTTTGCAGTTTTTTATAAATTAAGTTCCTATAAAGCTCAATTCATACAACTCTTTAAACGAAACTGTTTCTTTTCATTAAAACTCAAAAGTCTAAATTTAATGACCTAACATAAATGTGATTTTCTTAAATTAACTATAGGTGAAATGTCAACTTATGATAAGTAAGCATTAATTTATCGGAATAAAAAGCTGTCAGGCCTGGACAACCAAAAGAAGGAAATTGTAGTATGATGTTTATATTTTTCTTTATCAATTCAAATGTAAACAATCTGTTAACATAAAAACACTAGAATTACTATTACTACTAATAAGAAATTAAATTAAATTTAAATTTAAAAAAACATATTTTACTCAAAATTTCATAAAGAATGCAATTGAACGTGTGGTGATATTTCATGACCGCAGCTGTATATACATATTTAAAAATAAAATAATAAACATATATTTTCAAACAATTTTAACTTATAATTTGAATTAAGTGAAAAAAACAATACATATGTGCCTAAAAAATAAAACTTGGGAATGCAAGTAGATTTCCGTTTTCACGACCATCATCTTCTAACCAGTATTTATACAGGGAAAAGAGAAGCCTTAAAAGCGCAAGTTTATCTAAAATGCTAACGGATGCCAAGGATAATGCGAAGCTTTATAAGAGAAACGCGACACGATTGAATATTCACCAGCGCAACGCACACACACAATGATTAATCCTTGAAAACACTGAGAAAAATTGTAGCAGCTTGTTGGTTTTATTTTCATATCGAGCTGTCTCATCCTTTTTTGTTCCCTGATAATAGTAAGCAGTTAAGCCGAAAAAGAAAAACCGACCACCTGCGCGTCACTTGTTTACAATTGCAAAATAAGAATAAATAGGAAAAAACATTTTTCAAGTTTGTCATAACAACAAAAACAGTGGTGGGGTTGGGGAGGTAACTGGTTGGCCTTATGCGGTAACACTTAAAACGAAGTTAAGTGTACGTATGTATGTTTGTGTGCGCCGCCAGGCAGTCTACGTTCCCCCATGAGAGAACCGCAGCTATTCTTTTAACTATTATAAAGTGACCACACTTCCATGAATCGATCTTTCGTTCATAAAATACTACCAGCTACACTTCAGCCCATTCACACACACGCACTTAACAAAAATAAATACAATTCTTCAAGTTCACACAATCACAGTCACACACACACTGCTGCATCTGAACTGAACTTTTCCACGGTTACCAAGTTTTAAGCGCTTTTTTTGGATAAAAAATTCGTACATCCTCTGCACGTCGAAATAATTATGATAAAACCAACAGCAATATACAAAAACGAAACGAAATGAAATTCTATTTATAAAAGGCGCACACACACAAGCGCGCGCATGTTTGGCAGTGAAATGTGAGAGGAAGAGGGGGAGAATCAGGAGTAGTAGTAAAACAGCGAATAACGTGCGGGCAAGCAAGATAGCACTATTGGCGACACGTTCACACACACAGCAGTAAGCGTACGAATTACGCAAAGTGAAATATCGTTCTCAAAATGGAAAGTGGAAATGTGCGGACGGTTTTTCGAATTTTTCAACCATCCGCTGGCTCCAAAAAAATGGAAATTGGAGCGAGCGAGAGAAGTGGAACGGGTGAAAACATTTGATAGCAAGACGAACATCACCAGGCGAACGAGGTCGCGCGGCCAAAATACCCGTGACTTAATCGCTCGACAACACTGATGCCAGACAAGCACCAGCCTCGATTCACATAGCAAAGCGTTTATTTTCGGCTGAGTTTTAGCAATTTTTAGCACAGCACAGAACTCACTCTTTAATCGGATATTTTTTATTTTGGCAAGTGTGACCGCATGCTTTTGCGTTAGAGAAACCACAATCGATGTTTACTGAATACATATCGATATAATCGATAAGTGTGTAGAGCGCACAGAAAAAAACACCGTTTACACTATAGTCAAATAATGGGTTTTTATTCGAATGGGAATAATCATTTTTTTAAATAGGTTTTGCACGTCTAGATATAAGCAATGGTAGAGTCTTGCTGGAGTCTTTTGAATTTTTTTCGTTATATTTCTTTTTTTTGCCTATCACTACAGAATAAAACGTAATACCCGCGTAATTGCAATTTTTAATTATTGTGTTGATTGGAGGCCTGGACATCGAATTCTTAAGAATTTACGTGAAGAAATTTGTTGGCGGTCATCCATGGTTCTCTTCCAATCGAATTTTAAAGTTGCGGGTCTTGCCATAAAAATAAAGTACTCTTTTGACTTGCTATAAAAAAATATTGGGTTTTATTCGTTGTCAAAATAATAAACATTATATAAACAGCGATTTTTCAAGAGTTTTAATGCTAGAATAAAATTTTAGCCGAAATCTCTTGGTTTCGTTAGCAAATTTATCAATAATGAGATTTCCATTCAGTCAAGCATAGTCAAAGTTGAATAGGGACTATTTTGGGTGCGCCTTCAAATGAGTTTATGTTTAGATAAGTAATGAACGTTTTGGTGCCAGGTCTTGCCAATGACATAAACTGAGGCTTGGTCATTTCCTTAAAAAAAAGGATAGCAATATTTTATTTTATGATGAGATCCATTGCTGAGTTTCAAGCCGTTAGAAGGCTCCTTAGTCCTGCACCAACAACAATTTCCTTCAAATAACCTAAATTAGTAACAAAAATAGTGAATAAAAAACAGAATTACTGAATCGATTAGTGTGTTCGGTCCTGTTATCCGCCGAAGCGAGTTTTCTCCACTCTTTCTAACACGTCTTATAGAAGGAAAAGTCGCAGAAGCGGAATTTGGTCGCTGAAGCGGGAAGCCCCTCTGCTTGAATAGGGTATAACATTCACAAAAGCCCACAACGTTAAAATCTGTCTGGCGCCCGCATTTTTAAAGATTTTGTAAAAGTATAAATGGGAGTTTTTTTTATTGTCAATACCTATCTACAAATGGTTCAAATCGGACCATTCATTAAAAAGTTATGTTATAGAATAATGCGCTTTGATGCTTGCATATCTCCATCTCCCTTGCGATCTCTTTAATTGTGTAACGGGTAACTGACAGTCGAGGAAGTCGACTATAGCGTTCTTTCTTGTTTGGTGTTATTTTCAGGAAAAATCAACTTCTAAGTTTTCTTCTTTTTGGTTTTGGTTTGTAATGGCCGATCATCTGTGAGCAGAAGCTATTACTGGGAAATTTTAGGAGCGGCAAACCTGTATATATTTTTGGCTTTTAAAGTTAAGCTTTGGTAAGGCGAACTGCAAAAATGGAGCTCCTGATCGTTGAAAATAGGGTGATTAAATGCTATAATGAATTATCCAAACGATGTCGTGAAATTAGACTATGAGCAGCTGTTCAAGTCAGCTGTTACCGGATGTTAGATGTGCGCTGTGAAAATTGGAATTCAACATTCGTCAGAAATTCCAACCATTTAATACGGATGAACACTGAGGGAAGGGGCTGTGGGCGAGTTTAAAAATAAAAGGAGTTATTGGTGACATTTAGAGTAGATCTCATGCTGGTATGTTAAAATTTTGCGAATACCCCAGTTATTTTAAGAACAAATTATTGAAATCGGAAGTATCGATAACGCGATGTTTAAAAGTATCGATACCTTTGATAGGGCTATTGATTGCTTGACCAGCTCTAGTTTTTGTGTGAAAAATCTGGCGAATAGATTCTGTTAAAAGTTCTTCTGTTACCAATTCCTCCTGTTATAACGCCTTTAACCGCCGGTGAGCCGCCCCAGTGAATTGCGTTTGGCTAATTGTTTGTCAACGGAATAGGTAAACCTGCCGCAATTTGCGAATACAAAGGCCACACAAACGAATTGTCGCGTCGCATTACGTTTCAGTGCTGCCAACTTTTCCGGAGTGCCGGGAATATATTAAATTGCTGGCTAAACAGACGCGTTGCAGCCGATATGTTCACGCCGTTGGATTGATTTGCTCGCCCTGTTTATTCCGAAGAGTCTGATTTGTGTTCTCCAGCCTCTAATTTGGTCGGAAAAACGCCGGCGAACTGTCGAACTCTAGCCGGAAAACGGCCAAGCTGGCGGCACTGCCAGAACAAAAAATGAAGTGAATTACGGAAAAAAGGGATAGCTACGAGAAAAGCCAAAAGAAAAGCTGGTAGAGTGTGCAAATGACAGTGGCCAGCGAGCATCTTTATTTCCCATTCCATGACGTTTTGTTAAGTTGTCCGCTGCTCTAGGTGGTCATTATTATCATCGCCACCAACATTGTCGTCTACGGGGGTCGGTGTTTTTTAGTCAACTACCCACCAGCGAAACGGCCTTGAGGTAACTCAACAGCACCTGGCCATCTAAGTCTTTATCATCACCTTGGTCTGGGTTTCCCATCACACAGTTCAGGTGGGTTCTCGATGCCGATTCTGAATCCCAGTCCTTCAATCAGATCCTCATACAGATCCTTTCACAATCCACAGTTATGTCATCTACCGCCGGTAAGCGCAAGGAGATCTATAAGTATCTCGCACCATGGCCACTGTACTCCATGAACTGGAGTGTCCGGCCTGATAAGCGATTCCGACTCGCACTGGGCAGCTTCATCGAGGAGTACAACAACAAGGTGCAGATCATCAGCCTGGACGAGGACACAAGCGAATTTAGTGCTAAGAGGTAAATCGAGCGACTATCTTAAATTTACAAATTCGGCCCAAAGTTACAGAATTATATAGAAATCGCTTAAACCCGATTTGAACACAAAAAAGTGTCCCAAAAAATCCCTATTCCCATAATTTGCAAACTATATTTGAAAAAATTTAGTGATTGCGTATAGGATTCCAAAATACCTTCTAACGACATATGTACAGCACAATAAACATAAACACAGATAACATAAGATTTAGATATTTATAGCTAAAACGCGTTTTCAAAAATCGTAAAGCAAACATTATTGTAATCGAGCTGTTTAACACAATTTAAATGATTCTATGACCCTAAAATAGAGTTGGATACGCATAATTTTCAAACAAGGTTTTTGGACAAATTGCGTTAAGAGGGCATGCATGGTTTTTTCAAAATACATTTGACATTTTTGACATATACATCAAGTAGCTTTAGTAGTTTAGAAGTTACGTGTTGCACACTACGTGGACTGCCTTCCACAGCAATATCTTACTAGGTGATTCTAGCGAAAACTAAAAGATTGATTGCCATTACCAACAAATTTAAATGATGTTACGATACATTCTTTAAGATGCCTCGTCTATCATATTCCGTTAGTCAGCTAACCAATGTAACTTATTAACTAATGGTTCGATGTAATTAACTTTTGGCACGTCAATAGATCTTGACAAATTAAATAAAATTTACATAAAATCTTTAAAAATGTGGGTGCCTAAAATTTTGCAATTTGTAGGCTCAAATGCTCTAGGAGAATCTGAATGTCCAATTTTAACTCTCTAGATTCAAAAATGTGGGAGTAGATCGAACTTAGCGTTATGGGCGTTAGAGTGGACGTGATAATCGGCTGAAAACAACTTGGGCTTCATATGTACATAGGTACGGAGATATGCAACCGGCAAAGCGACTGTTTCGATCCCCGAAGTGACTCACATATCAGTGAAATTTTTGACTTGTTGGCCATTGATAGACGAAACAAAACACCCTTTTTAAAACGTTTTTGTAAGTGTGGGCGCCGTCAGACTAGCGTTATGCGTTTGTTGGCGTTAAGTGTTCGTGGCACTTTGCTGAAACAAACTTGCGCTGCGTAAGAATTAGATTTGGTATAATAACTTTAATACCTTTTTTTTGTGTTGACATTTTGTTAATTTATTAAAAGATGAAAATAATTTTTGAAGACATCGCGTTTATATATCCGACTACACTTACAATATTGTTTTGCGCATTGATGCAGATTTCTGTACATTCATAAACAAACTGATAGGAGTAACCCACCAAAATTCAACTAAAGAAGGAAACTATTTTCGGCAAGCCGGTCCGACTTTTAAAAAAGATTGTGTTGTGAAATATTTGCGCTTTGAAAAATAAGTCGTCTTCACAGCTTCAATTCTAATTGGAGAAGGCCCCTTAAAAATAAGTGTTTTGTTATACAGAAGATTGGAAAGTTGGGTTACTTATCGCCAATTTCCGTTTTTTTTTTAATTTTAGCCTATAGCCACAACCACATTTTGCATTTTAGGTATTTAAGCATTGTCCTAAATTACCCTTGCTTACTTTCTAATTTGTTCTTTTCCGAACTAGCACCTTTGACCATCCATATCCGACAACTAAGATCATGTGGATACCGGACTCCAAAGGCGTCTATCCCGATCTGTTGGCCACCAGCGGAGACTATTTGCGGGTGTGGCGTGCCGGCGAACCAGACACACGTCTTGAATGCGTTCTTAATAATAACAAGAATAGTGACTTCTGCGCCCCGCTTACCTCGTTTGATTGGAACGAGGTAGATCCAAATCTGGTTGGCACCTCCTCAATAGACACCACCTGCACTATATGGGGACTGGAGACTGGACAGCCGCACGCCCGCGTCTATGTGGCAGGACACGTGAAGACGCAGCTGATTGCCCACGACAAGGAAGTCTACGACATTGCCTTTTCGCGGGCAGGCGGCGGTCGGGACATGTTCGCCTCGGTGGGAGCTGATGGATCGGTGCGCATGTTTGATCTGCGCCATTTGGAGCATTCAACCATTATCTATGAGGTGGGTAGAGTGCATGGAGTAAAACACGATGATCAATTTATTGACATAACCATTTTAGGATCCTGCCCACACGGCGCTGCTGCGCTTGGCCTGGAACAAACAGGATCCGAACTATTTAGCCACCGTTGCCATGGACTCGTGCGAAGTTATAATTTTAGATGTTCGTGTTCCTTGTACACCCGTTGCAAGACTGAGCAATCACAGAGCGTGCGTCAACGGTATTGCGTGGGCGCCGCATAGGTGAGTTTCCAGTGAAACGTAATTTGTTCCGTCATCAGTATGCATTGCACTTCGTATTTCAGTTCCTGTCACATCTGCACTGCCGGTGATGATCACCAAGCACTGATCTGGGATATACAACAAATGCCACGTGCAATAGAGGATCCAATTTTAGCCTATACAGCTGCCGAGGGCGAAGTCAATCAGATCCAGTGGGGTGCCACACAGCCCGACTGGATAGCCATTTGTTACAACAAAGCGTGCGAGATTCTACGGGTCTAAGAGTCAATTTTTTGGTCTGGTCCCTGGCTATAGCACCTGGTTGCAATTGCTGAACAACGCACAGTCAACAAAAAACAGAACGTCAGAAAAAACACATACAACCCACAACAACACACACATTTGCTGTTGGTAACTTGGAGGCGGAAAGGAGTGAGCTTAAGTTGTATCGGTTTTTTCAATACGCTTCCGTCGTTGGTTTAAGGGGGTTCACCCATGTCTCAGCCGATCCAACGGTTGCCACGAGAAAAGATCTCCCATGTTTTCTATTTTATTCCGACCAGAAAACAAATTTTCGGTTTTTTGAAACCAAGACAAAAGCGAACTCCCTAATTTTATTGTCTACCGCAAGAAAGGAATAAAGAATAACACAGGAACACAAAATTTAACTTTGTTAAATTTCCAGAAACCATTTCTACTTTATCATGATAATTGGGTCCTTTTGAGTAAAAGTCTCATACAAACTTTGTGCCATCACCTACAGATTCCGTAATATAGCTAAAAATAAAAAAAAAACATTTTTTGGCCTACATAATTCTACTTTTCTTAAACATTTTTGCTGAAGCATAGTCTCAATACAAAACGGCATTGCTAACAATTAGTCCCTATCTTTAACCATTGCCCGTGTCTTTGGAACTTAACAACAAAGTTATAATTCTCAATTTTTCACAATTTCTTGGGAATCTTGGAAAATCAACTTGGACGTCAAATTCCGAAGACATGGGCCATGGTTTAAGATGGGGATTATTTTTAGTAATATCGTCTTGTATTAAGAGTGTTTCAGAAAAATATTTAAGTTAAGTCAAATTATATAGGTCACTTAATTCAAAATGTCGGCGAACATCAATTGGTTTATTCCTAGCTGTACCGCGGTACCTTTAGGTGATGGATCACCAGTTTGTATGATACTTTTACTCGGGAGGATCCCATTATGACAAACTAGAAATGGTTGATGGAAATTTTTGGCTGTGTTATTGAATGAGAAACAGAAATGGCTTGAAAGAGAGGGAGGCATGTAAGGGAAAATCAAGGCGACGGAGCATGTATTTTAGAATTATTAGCTTAGTTGACCGTACAAGTATGTAAGTCATGTCTATGAGGTATAACCAAAATATGTATTTTTAATTATAGTTTATTTCACACTTGACAAGACCGCCCAGCCCACGCAAGCCACAATCTATTAGAGGCGCTTCATTTCATTTAGTTCTTTATTATACGTACCCAAGTAGAATAGAAAGAAGCAAGACAGAAAAAAACATTTAAAAAAACAATGTCCTACCTCGTTTTTTCAACTATGAATATTGATTGTTAACCAAGTTTTTGAGTCTGGCCAAAACAGCGATAGCAACAGCCACAGCAACACAAAGAAAAAGAAAGTGGAATGAAGTAGACAGTAACAACGCTTTTTCGAAATATTTTTACTTTGTTCAATTTTTGTATGAGAACCAAAAACGGGAAACCAACAAAAACATGATATAAAGAAAAAAACCATGGACTTAAACGAATGCAAAACAAACAAAATACGGAATAAATTAAATATATAAGTGGAAATACTTACATATATAAAAGAATAAAACAAAAACAAACCGAAGAAAAAATGCACACAACACAGCTAGATTATAATACTATTTAAAGATTCAAACTAAAAGCAAAAGCAAAAACAAATACCGAAATATATGAGCGAGAGAGAATACAAGATTGTTGCTATATCCATTTAACAAAGAAACGAAACAGAAATAAACTATGATCATTTCAGATAAAACAGGACTCTCCATGAATAATCCCAACAACATCACATACTTTCCACAGGACAAAATCGACTTTTTCAGATAAAATCGAAACAATTTTTTTATGTATCTTGTAATTTATAGCAGTTTCACAACTTACTTATATATATAGATATGTATACAAAAGCGATAGAAGTACCGATAATCCCGATGATCATGTTTTGTAAATACAACATGAAAGGCAACTTTTAAAAACAAATCAGCAGTCGGAAGCCGTGAAACTTTTGAGCAAGACTTAGGCCCTGGTTATGTATAGCCATTTAAGAGGACCATAAACCCCCGAATAAACATCCCCCTTAATCCAAATACTGTCTTACTTTGCCACAGAAAAGTTTAAACTGAATTAAATCCTTTTTGATTTTTTACGTTTGTAGCCATTAATCAAAGACGATTTCATTGATTTGGCATTTAACGGTTTACTCACAAAAAAATCTTAAAAGGAAGTTAGAATATTATATACCACAGTTTCTTTTTCTTCGTTTGTGATTTTTATTTTATAATACGGTTCACGTTATATGGGAATGTAACTACACTTATATATGTATTGTATATGTACACACACTCACACAAACACAAGCGCGTATATATAGACATCCGATCGGGCTGAAGAGGTTACTAGGAAGCTAATTGATCGATCGATAAAACCAAACAAAACAAACGAAGGATGAAGGGTTGGAGAAAACAAACCAAAACAGACAAATATTTAAATAAACCATTTTTAAATAATAAATTCCTTTTCATATTAATTCGGGAAGATCGTCGGGCGGACAAATGTTACTGATGTCCACAACTCCACAGAGACTTTCCTTGGATTTTTCGACCTTTTTTGCATCATCAGAACGGGCATAGCTAGAAAAGTAAGCATGGGAATTTAGAGATTAGTCAAATTTTATGTCTCTGGGCAAAACAATTAAAAAAAAATTATTTTTTAAGTGCCCTGCAGTTGCACAATTCATCACTGCTGAAAATCATTCAGTCGACTGCGATGTCGGCAGAGCCGACGCCCTCATCAAGCCTTTTTTCTCGATATCTTTGTTTAAAATGATACGTGATGAAAATGCAGTGAGCATAGGTTACAACGGAGATTATTTTTATATAATTTTTTCACTGGCATGCTAATGCTAAGACCATCACCATTTTTTATTTTAACAAAACTAGGCTTAGTGATTATTTTTTTGCGATGATTCATTACCAAAAAGTCGATGAACGGTACTGCAGGGTAGCCTTATATTTAAATGGGCCTTGTATAATTTGCACACTCACCTTTTAGACGTACTTTTCGTGGTGATCAGTAGATCGTTGATTTTTAGTTTTTTAAGTTTGACCGTAAGGTGACCTGTTATCTGCGAACGGAGCACCGTAGACTCCTCCGGCTTGACCTCCTCACTGTAGGCGATCTGGAAGATCTTTTTTTTTACGGTGACTCTAGTATACGTGGTCTGAACGTCCACATCAATTAGAGAGGTATCCAGGTGTCTGTGGGCAGATATATTATAAGAGATTTATTACAAAAATAAATAATAATACGGTCTATTCTGTTAATAGTATTTACTTAAAAATCAAATAGATATCAAAAATTTTTAAGCAATTTGGTTGCGTATATTAAATAAAAAAATTTCAACTTCAATATATAAAATATTAATATTGGATAGGTGCATAGCATCGTGATCTCAAAAGTTAAACATTGGAAAAAAGGTCGGTTTTTCTGATTTTGAAAAACCAACTTCAATAGTGGCAAAAAGAAGACAAATCATAATTTGTAAACTATTGTATTCAGATAAATTCAGATAAACCGTTATGAGCGCTTTAAAACGTTTAACCCTAAGTTCAGTGTGGTGCCTGTTGATTTAACGCGTGCCTATAAGAACCACGTTTTCATCGGCCGGGTGTCACGCGCACTATATAGTGACAAAAAACGCGAAAGTTTGTGTATCATTGTAAATTATATTTTATTTTATTTTACAACAATTACAATATCTATCGGTGTGCAAAAAGTGGTTTAAATTTGTATTAATTAAACGTTAAATTGATTTACTGAGTAACGGGTATTGGGTAACTGATAGTCGAATCGAACACACGACCCCAACTTATAAGGAAAACACACTAACCATATAATTCGAAAGATGCAAAATCGGGCACATGAAGTTTTTTAGAGATTGTGAAAATAAACATATTTGCAGCATGTTGTTTCTTGTAAGCAAATATTCCATAAATTATGAAAAGTTTTTTAATTTAAAAATGTATATTATTTAATTTAATTTATATTTTAAAAACGTTTCTTATTTGAAGAAAAAAGTTTAAGAAGAATACCTTCTTTAAATACGAATATTGTTCTTAAATTAAGACTCGGTCCCTCAGTTTACAAATCTGTTCAAATCGTCAAAATTATTTTTATACCCGTTACTCGTAAACAACCGATGGGAATGAACGAGAGGTGGCGCTTTATCAATATCTGAGTAACGGGTATCTAATAGTCGAGGCCGTCGACTATAGCGTTTTCTCTTGTTATAAACATAGAGTTCTATAATATGGCATCTATGGTTTATACGGTTTCAGTAATACGATTTTAATTGCATGTAAATGGGGCGACCCTATCTTAATCATCGTTTAAGCGTTCGGCTTGCCGAAGCTAGCTACCTTTCTTGTTTAGCTTAACTTACCTGTAGACTTCTAGTTGGAGCAAGTAATGATCGGCCTCGTCCTGGAATTTAAAGGGCAGCTTGCCCTGGTTCAGATTGTACGGTCTTCCGCAGGGAGCAAAAAGACTGCGCTCTTGCTTCGGTGGATCCAACGGGGATTTGGTTTCGTGCCGCTCCCGGCCTAACCGATGCTGTCGGGCGATCTCCGTGCGAATCTCCGGACAGTGCTCGCTCTTTGCTTGCCAGAAGGTTTTGATGCGCTCCTCTTCATCGTCTATTCCTGCACAACGATCCGCCAAGGCGGACTGTTGCTCCGCCACCCGGATACGCTGCTCATCCCGACTTATAGCCTGATCCGCCTGCTTCTGGACGATGATGGCACGGTTTTTGGGTAGTTCCCTCAAAGCTTGGAGACGCTCCGAAGGCGTTATCTCTATGCAATCCAAGGTATTCAGTTGCGGCAAAGTCGCAACCACGTAGTTTCTGTATTGTGGATAGTCCACGCAAGGATTTCCAATGAGTACCAGTTCACGGAGATTGTGATTGCCACATAGCGACTCCAAACTGGTTAGTTCTCCTATAAAATTTAAAGTAAGATCCAGTTTGCTAAGAGACTCGCAGCCCTCCAGGTTCTCCACCTTCTCAATATTATTGATGGCTACATTAAGGTACTCCAAACGTTTTAATTTATGCAAGTTCTCCAGGCGCGCAATCAGATTGGATTGAAGGAGAAGGATTTTTAGGTTGCGACACCAGTTCTGAATGTGTTCTATGGCCTCGATATCCTCCTGATGCAAGGAAATTTCTTCCAGAGTGCTAATTAGACGTTCATTGTGCTCCGATTTCTTGCGGACCAGCTCTTCGGTGACTACAATTTTAAATGGATCGAAATCATGAAATATTTCTCTAATTTCAACTACTTACTGAGCACCATATTGACAAAAGTGTGATGTAAGGGGAAGTAATAGAAAGTGCTAGGCCAAAGGGTAAAAGCCAACTACGTTGCTAAGCATTTTACATCCCGTTCCACTTTCCTTGTTATTCTTTTTTGTACCCTGTTTATACCCTTGAAATTTTATGGGTGTTATGATTTCAGTCGGAAGTTTGCAACGCAGTGATGGAGACGTTTCCGAACCTATAAAGTATATATGTATATTTTCGATCAGCACAACAAGATGCAGAAGCGCACCGGGGTAGTTTTCAAAGGCAACTACTTTAAAAAGTAAAGTAAAGTAATTAAGAAACTTATACCACTTTTGGAAAAACCTGTTAGTTTAGCGGTAAGACAGCTATAAAAGCATGTGAACTAGTGAAGCTGCACCTGTGCTACATGTCGTTAAAAATGTATTTTAAAATACCATGCACGTTTTCTTAACGTAATTTGTCTAAATACGATAGTTTAAAAATTATGGGCAAACGTTTCTTTAAATCAATTTTTTATTTTTTTTGAAATTGGCAGCAAAACAATTGCCACTTTTAGCAGTTAAGAACAACTAACGCGGGCTAAGCATTACATTTTATATGTGCGTATCCAAACTCTATTTTAGGGTCATGGAATCATTTAAAATATTTTAACAGTTCCATATAAGAAGCTTTAGTTCCACGACATAAGCAGTTCCATAGTGTTACAGAACACAATAAAATATATTTCAGATCCATTTCTTTTTTATTATGTTAATTAAATGTATTCCGTTTCCGACCCTATAATGTATATGGTACTGTGGGCAAAAAGTAAGGTGAATTTGTTTTTAAAATAAAAAATCTTTATTTGTTCTTCTAAATCAATTACAACGTCATTAAAGTAATCTCTTCCCGATAAAATACACTCATGCCAACGTTTTTTCCAATACTCCAAACATGCCAAATAATCCCTTTTCAGTGTAGCCTCTTTGATTTTTTATATCCTTTATGTTTTGTCACAAAAATTTGATAAGAGTAGTTATACCCCTTACTCGTAGAGTAAAAGGGTATACTAGATTCGTCGGAAAGTATGTAACAGGCAGAAGGAAGCGTTTCCGACCCCATAAAGTATATATATTCTTGATCAGGATCACTAGCCGAGTCGATCTAGCCATGTCCGTCTGTCCGTCTGTCCGGATGAACGCTGAGATCTCGGAAACTATGAGACCTAGGCTATTGAGATTTGGCGTGCAGATTCCTGAGCTTCTTACGCAGCGCAAGTTTGTTTCAGCAATGTGCCACGCCCACTCTAACGCCCACAAACCGCCCAAAACTGTGGCTCCTACAGTTTTGATGCTAGAATAAAAATTTTAACTGAAATGTAATGTTCTCATCAATACCTATCGATTGACCTAAAAAAAAGTTTGACACGCCCACAAACCGCGAAAACCTGTGACGCCCACAATTTTTATGCTAGATAAAAAATTTTAACTGAAATGTATTCGTCTCGTCATTACCTATCGATTGACTCAAAAAAAGTTTGCCACGCCCACTTTAACGCCCACAAACCGCAAAAACCTGTGACGCCCACAATTTTCATGCTAGATAAAAAATTTTAACTGAAATGTATTGGTCTCGTCGATACCTATCGATTGATCCAAAAAAAAATTTGCCACGCCCACTCTAACGCCCATAACGCTTAAATCTGTATACCGCCGGTAGGTGGCGCATTTTAATCTCGCTTTGCTGCTTGCATATCTCCATTTAGCTGAGTAACGGGTATCTGATAGTCGAGGTACTCGACTATAGCGTTCTTCCTTGTTTTGTATGTTGAAGGTTCGATCGTCACGACCCTTTCCCTCGCTAGAGGTGTTTTTGTTTGATATCAGAAATTTTTGTTTTAAGCATCAACCATATAAATTAAAAGTGACAATTTTTGTTTATTAATAACATTCACACATGCTCTATACAGCAATGTTTTATATGTCAAAAGTTGAGGATTCTTAAGGTCTATACTGTTTTTAGTTAAACCAGAAATTCTAAGGGCCAATTCTGAGAAATGTATGGGCGTGTCCTCGCAAAGAAAGTAAGTTCTGGCTAACAGAATTTGGTTGCGTGGCATAATAGAAGTATCTTGCTAGCAGAAGCACAAGAGCGATCTTCGACGAGCTCTTCATTGGGTAAGCACCGGACTCCACCCCCACCATCTACTTGGCATCTGCCATCTGCTGGCTTGTATAGGGAAGAGGAATAAGGGCTCTAAGGGACAGCTAGAAGAGCCATTACCAGGATGCTGGGCGGATGCAGCATCAGCCGAACAACCCCGTTCCCAATCCGGCTGCCACATCGTCAAGGTCTTATATGCCTTAAGATTCGATTAAGATTCGAAGCTGGACTGCAGATGGCGCGTGGAAGATGGCGAAGCATTTTTGGGAAGAGAAGGCAGCTTCTAATTTTATTTGAATTCCCAGCAGACTCTTCTTTTTTAAATTGATCCAATTAATTTGTTCTCCGTTTGTCAACAAACCCAGCTGCTTGACAGTAAGACCATGCTACGTGCACTGCGGGTGATCTTTGAAAACTGCGGTCACACTACAAAGAATACGATTTCTCGACTAGTGAAACTCTTAGCCGATCTTTAAGACTAGTAACTAAAAATAATATTTAAGATATTCCCTAAACTGTTGTACTGCTGAATTGTTGAGTTTTGGAGAGCTGTTTATCAGTTGCTCTATACAAACTCAATTTTTCCAGTTTTTTGAAAATTAACAGGAACCATTTAGGGTCGTTCCCCCAATTGCTGAAATTTCAAAAATTCAGAAATTCAACAGTTTAGGTAAAACCCATTCATATACAATAAGAAACTTCTTTCCGATACGATGACAACGATTTTTTTCGACGCCCCTGCTTTGCTGCGTTTTTGAATTCCGACCCTGGCCAAACGAGAAATCTAATCAGCTGGAATTAAATTAAGTAGTCAACTAGCAAATTAGTAGGGACGTGTTGAATGCGGCCAGCTCGTCAGTCATTGGCCAGCGGGCGGACGGAAAGCACATATAGTAAACGCAAACCAAATCGGACAGACAGATAAATTAGGATTTGGCGATGAGCATCGATAAGGAAGGTGATATCTTGCGGCCACTTAGCGACGGTGAAGTGGACGAGCTTCTCGATCTTTATAAACTCAAATATAGCGTAAAGAACTTTCACTACCTGTTGCTTTATAATCAGCGAAAATGGGATCGCCAGTTGGATGAGGCTAAGATAACGCGCGATGATCTGAACTATATATCCCTGAGAAAGCAGTTTTTTACCCATAGAAGGGGGGACTTTCGGAAGTGGGGCACTTATGTGGCTCTTCATCGGGATATCGTGCAGAGCGTCTCCTTCTTCAGTTGGCAACCAAACGGGGCTACAGAGATGTGGGAATGCCTGGAGCAAACACAGCTAATCGAATGGACGCATGGCGCCCTGCTGACCAATGTAGATCTCCGATTTTGTGATCAAGTCAAAGAGTTGGCGGTCAAACGCGGTGTCACCTCCATCCAACCTCGTCAGTGCTTCGGAATGGTTTTGCTGCATGATGAAGCCCGATGTGTAAAAGTTCCAGAGCTGCTGTCCGAGTTCGACATCCGCCCACTGCGGGACGAGGACGCGGCCATGGTGCACGAAACTTGGCCCAACAAGGGTGAGGGCTCACTCGCTTATCTCCGTGCTCTGATTCGCTTTAACAAATCTTTGGGAGTGTGCCGGAGCGACACCGGCGAACTGATTGCCTGGATCTTTCAAAACGACTTCTCCGGGCTTGGGTGCGTATACCTAAGATATAATAGAACACAAGGATCCAGGCTGCGCTTTGGTTTGCCGTTTATTTATACTACCCTGCAGAGGGTATTGTAATTTCAGTCAGAAGGTTGCAAGTCAAAGAGACATACATCCTAAAAAAAATACACTTGTTGATCATATCGATTTGTCAAAATAAGCATGAAACTTATATTTATATAAAAACAGTAACCATATCTCTCCCTCTGTTCTGCTGCTTTGAGAAATAAGTTCATAGCTAAAGCAGAAAGGGAGCTTCTTGCAACTTAACCCATATCTATGTAGATGTTACTGTAGATGGACATTTATAATCAACATTTATATTGCACCCTGAAGCTCAAGAATCTACATTACAAATCCCAAATTACCAGCTCTTATAGTTTCTGAGATCTCAGCGTTCAAGAATATATGTACTTTATGGGGTTCCTTCTACCTGATACATACTTTCCGACGAATCTAGTATACCTTTCTACTCTACGAGTACAGGTATAAAATTATTTTTTATTCAATATTTTTTTAATATGTCGTCTACAAGCGTCTGTAAAGTGACTTCGGCGACACTTTCAGAAGTGACTTTGGCAATATCGGATTCGGATCGCGAAAGTGACTCCCGTCTGAAAAAAGGTACCACTTTGGCGTTACTTTTCGAAGTCACTTCTGCGTTACTTGCAGAAGTATGTTCGTTGACTTCTCTAAATTATATTGCCATTGAAAGATACCACACTTAGCTAAAAACTGTAATTTGCATACAATTTAATTTTAAGGAAAAACACTGGGTTAGCTTGCTATTTGAACATTTTATAAATTTTCATGTTTGTGTATAGATTGCTGTTTGATAAAATACCGTGATTGTTCGTTAATTTTTCAATTTTTAATGCCACAGGTGCACTTTTTTGAAAAGGTATTTGGCTTTTTGTTCCTCAGGTTCATATATACATAATCGCTGGAGACATGAATTCGAAATTTTAATCGGCTCATAAGATATCGCCATTATAAATAAAATTGGTATCTAAAACTTTAACTCGCTATAATAGGTAAACGCGACCTAAGCCATAAAAACCCAAATGGGTTTTTCCTAGTTTCAATGAGTACTTTCTGCACGTGAAGTGCAAATTGCGGTTACATTTTTCGTGTTGCACTGTGTTGATGAAGGAGACAGGTCTGAGGAAAGGACCACATTTATATTGGTTTATTTTAACATTTGTTTCTAAAAAATTCTTTTTGCAGTTACTATTATTTTTGTTTGAAGAAACTTTTTGCCTCAAAAAATTTAAGTTTTCAAGTCGAGGAAAAAAGTTCAAAAAGGACATTTTCACACATATTCGTCCTTTTCAATAAGTACTGAATGTGTTCAGAAATGTATTGTATCATTCAAACGGCATTTAAATTACCTTTCCATTGATGCCAAAATTAACAAGATGTAAGTTCAAATTATGAATATATTTAACTTTTTTTTGTGAAAATACTTTTGACCACCCTTGTACATTGATATTTCGCGCCTCTACATATCTTCCAGTAGTTTAAAAGTAAAAAACAAGAAAAAAAGTTAACTTCGGCAAGCCGAAGTTTCTATACCCTCGCAGGCTGTTGCAATTGGAGAATTGTACATACATACTATACAGAGCTTTCCGATTTTTAAAAAACTTAAAAATAAATACGGAAATATTAAGATAATGTTCCACTTCAATTTATAACCGTTTTTGTTTACCGAAAACGAAATATAACGGTCTTTGTGTTATTTTGACATTAAATTTCCGATCTTTTCTATAGCAGCTATATGATATAGTAGTCCGATTTTTGTTACATTGAATTCGTTTCTGAAAATTGAAAAAATGTTATGTACCGGAGTAGAAGAGAAAATGATCATAAATGACAAAGCTATAGTTATTTTCCCATTAATTATACGATCGCTCCTATGGCAGCTATATGATATAGTCGTCCGATTTTGTGTTATATTTTATTCAAAATTCTGAAATATAAGATACCCTCTGCAAGGGTATAATTAATATTTAAAAAAAATTTGTCTTCAAAAAGATCTTATAAGTATTAAACAAAGACAAGACGATTCCTGTTAAACAACTCAAATTGATTTTTTCCGCTTTCAGTATGCTCAAAGTGCTGCCCAAGGCAGAGCGCAGAGGACTTGGTGGTCTTCTAGCCGCTGTAATGACCCAAAGAATTGCCAAAGGCGAGGATGTTACCATATCGGCCTGGATTGTGTCCACTAACTGGCGGTCGGAGGCACTTCTTAAGCGGATCGGCTACCACAAGGAGGTGGTAAACGAGTGGATCAAGCTAGTACCCAATCCGTCATAGGCACACTACTCCCCGTTGGACCGGGGACATTGCGTTGGTTAGTTGGACACACGACAAATAGGTTAGGTCAAAAAGCACACACGACGATTTGCATTTGCTATGCCTATGTATTTACATGGTCAACAATTTTATTCTTTGATTTAACATGCGCTCACGCCTTCTGAATACACTTCACAACTTAATAAAATTGAAAAACAAATTACAAACTAGCGGGGTGGGGGATATGGAAATCAGGGACTTGAACTATTTATTTACACACTCCGCTGGCCTATGAAATTATATCAAAAATTCATTACGTTTACAGCATTGCTATGCGTTTTGGGTTAACTTACACACATATTTTACGAACTTTTGACTCAATCGGCACAACATTCTCATTTTTAATTTTCGAGTTTAATTCCTAAAAGAATGTCATAGAATACATCTTGTGTATACATTTTAAGATCCTTCTTATTGCGAGTCATACATATATGAAACTTTTACAGAATATCAAAGACACTCTTTCAGTCAATTTCCTAATCGCTGATAATTAGCCATATTGTATTAGCACCCTCTGCGCCTTGCTTTTTTATATCATTTTCAATTTAATAAAGCAAGCATACTTTTATGTTTAAATTGTAGTTTGGTGTCTAGTTTATTCCACAAATTGTATTTATATAAAATAGACATTTGCGAGAAGTTTCGTTTCCTTCAAATACGATTGAAGCCATAAAGAAATTTTTCTTTTTCTTCCTTAAACTTAATAAATTTAGAGTTGTGCCTCTTTAGTCAAACGTATTCAATACATATATAGATTATACATTTATAAAAAGAGATAGAGAGAGTCGTGAATTGCGTGGCGGTGGTCACGGGTAAATTCTATTCAGCTAACCCGCCTATTGGATACATTTACTAACTACAAACTATACAAAGAGCAGCCGCGTTGTCGTTCCGTTCGGCATTCCGCTGCCATTGGCCAAGAGGCTGTTTCCCGGCGTCCTGTGCAACCCATTAGATAGTTTCCCGTTGACTGATCCCCGGTAATACGGATCTGTATGTTGCTCCAGCGGAGAGTACTTCACATGGCTGTTCTGCGACAACGGAAGCGTGGGCTTCTCCCGGCCCCGTGTCATCTGTTTGGCGCGATTGTAGCACAGCACACCCACAATCGCCAGCGTCATACCAAGGCAGTTGACCCACGTAACCGGATTGCCGAGGATCAGGAGCGATACGGCGATCACAAAGATCCGCTTTGAGGCGCTAGCCACTGCATAGGTTAGTGGAGTGACTAGAGACAAGACGCTGAAGGCGATGATGTTCTGCAGCCAGTTTAAAACGCCGTCTGCGAAAAGCAGGGCAATCACACGGTAGTCCAGGTTTTTCTGCAAAGAGGGAAGTTTTCATGTTAGAGTATAGAAACAGTGATTTTTATAGATTTTCTTAGTTTCTAAATTGTGCTAGTTATAACCTTATTCTCAGACCAAACAACTTTACAGAATGCTAATTCCTATTAAAAATGTATCTCATGAAAATGTTATATGCATTCGGGGAAAGGAACGTAACTGGTAGATGAAAGCGTTTCCGACCCTATACAGTATATTCTTGATTAGGACTGATCTTGACTAGCCAAGTCGATCTAGGCGTGTCCGCTGTCTGTTTTTTATAGCAAAACCGGGAACTTTGAAATTCAATTACAAGAGAACCATGTCCGACCGCCATGTTCTTTTTGCACAAAATCGCGGTCCATCGAGGATAATTTGTTTGCGAATTTCGGGGGTGAGTCCTCTAATCTAAAGTATTACCAAGTTTTTATTAAAAAAAAGGTTCCCTTATTTACTTGAATTCAAAGGTTGCCATAACTTATTTTAAATTTGACAACATATAGGAGCATATAATAAAATTAGAAAAACGGCTTTATTGCTATAACAAATCCAATAAATCCTTTCCAAGAAAAATAAAAATTACTTTCATTTAAAATTTATTTTTTAGGGGCTGTATGGAAGCATCAGAGAAATTGTTAAAAATTTAAGGGAATTTAACTTTGTCGTCAAATTCCAAAGACATGGGCAACGGTTCAATATAGGTACTATGTTTTAGCAATGCCGTTATGTATTGAGACTGTGCTTCAGCGAAAATATTTAAGATAAGTAGAACATATAATTCAATATGTGGGACCCACATTATGAGAAAACATCGGTTCTTTGTATTCTTAGCTATATCGCGGAACCTGTAGGAAATGACACAAAAGTTTGTATGAGACTTTTACTCAGAAGGACCCAATTATCATGGAAAAAAAGAACTGGTTTCTGGAAATATCACAAAGTTCAATTTTGTATGCACGAAAAAATAAAAATCTACTGTGATGGGCCGATTCTAACGAGTGATGCACCAATCGAAAGGTATGGCAAAAACTACAAGGATTGCATACCAAGAAAATCATTTGGTTTGTGAGATAAAGCGGTGCCCAAGTTTATTACTTTAGTTCTAACTCAAAGTACGCGTCGAGTGACAACTCATTTGTTAAAATCCGATGTTCTTTTCAAAATTTTGACCAGTTCAGAGCAAATAACGTTGCCTGAGCATTGAATTTTTTTTATACGGATCCGAGCTCTATTTTAGGGTCACGGAATAATTTAAATTGTTTTTACAGTTCCATATAATAAACTTTAGTTCACCGACTTTGGGGAAGGTAGATGTTTAAAACAAAAACTTCTGATATCAAACAAAAACGTCTCTTTACGAGGTAACGGGACGTGACGATCGCACCTTCAACTTACAAAACCACTGACATCAAATTTTGTGACGATTATTATACATTCGACTAAATAAAAAATTCGCGAAATTATAGCATTTTTTGACATTTAAGCACCTAGAAGCCAAGACTGGAAATACCCAATAGCCTTTGTTGGGAAGGTACTCATTTTTTAGTACCTGTGCAGCATCCTTTTTTGGCCACAAAAGTCAACTAATCAAGAAAATACTTATACTCAGTATTCCCCCATCATATATTTTATCTAAACAACATACACAGTTATAAAGATAAGATTGTCCCAAGCTCTCGCAGAATTGGGTTATATACTTACAATGGCCGTGTGGCGGAATACAGCAAGGCTATCCATGTATAACCAGAGGGGCAAGAAGATAAACAGCGACAGCTGGCCAAGCAAATGCAGCAGCCGTAAATGATGGATGTTGGTGTCTTTAAGCACCTGTAGGGCGAATTACACTATTTAGAAATTATGGAACGGACTTAAATCGCAGGCTAAACGAAAACTTTACCTTCTTTGAAAAGATGTTTTGCATGGAGAAGCCCATTGTTGAGATGAGGGCACTGATCAGACCCATCATGTCGAAGGAGATCTCCGTGACAGTAGCAATACCTACTCCCGTTATGATGGGCAGCAGACTGAGGTACACAAGTGTCGGTTGTTTCTCACCAAAAAAGATGCGCGTGAGCACGACGGTGAATAGTGGCATTGTGGCTTTTACTGAGGGAGAAGAGAATTAGGGCATAATTTATGTCACTTGTGTAAGTGTGCTTACAGTTATTGAAAATTATGCAAGCAAATCTTTTATTTATACAAAAATCTTCCGTACATACGGTTTACGTATGATTTTAATTGCATGATATGGTTTAAGCTGAAAGGGTAGTCCAACTTCGGCTTTCCGAAGTTAGATTCCATTCTTGTTTTATAGCTTCCATAGAAACGATTTTTTAACTCTTATTATTTTATACATTACGGCAAAAAATGTCCGATCCGGGGACTATATTCTATAGGTAGTGAGTTGTCTTCATTTCGTTGCTAAATGTTTAATATTTTATATTTATCTCATTTTAGTCTCATTTAAATTCATGAACTCTACTTCGGCTTGCCGAAGTTACCTTCTGTTCTCGTTATAACAGTTACTCGTAGGATAAAGGCGTATATTGTAAAAGGGTATGTATCCGGTAGAAGAACACTTTTCAGCATTACTAGGCGACTTGTTCTAGCCATGTCCGTTTGTGCGTTTCTAGGTGAATCAGTTTCTCAGTTTTATAGTTATCGGTATGAAACTTCTAAAAGTATTCTTTCTATGGCAGATACATATACGAGTAAGAAGTAAATTAGTAAGAACGAGATGGATCGGACAAGTATCTCATACAGTTCCCATAGGAATGTTCGGAAAAATAGTACAAACAAATTCTAGCTTCGTTGTTTATCATCATATTGTCTTCTACTCTGGGGTACAGGTATTTTCCGGGATTTCAGAATTTCGAATAAAATTGGCTTTTATTCGGACGACTATATCAGATATATGTATGTGGCATCTAACAAGAACGATCGAAAAAATAATGAGAAAATATAGAAAAAATTGTGTCTTTGTTGTTTTTGACCATATTCTTTTCTACTCTGACTACAGCTTTTTTTAAGATTTCAAAACTTTGAATTAAATAGTATTTAGGAGCGGGCAAAAATAAAATAATGTGAAAAAATTATAGCTTTGTTGTATTTGATCATATTCTCTTCTAATATGGGGTTCGGAATTCCGAACTTTTTGTATATATAAATCGGATGACTGTCATATAGCTGTCATAAAACCTATCGGTATATTTACAAATCTTTCGGCCAAGCTAGCTTACTTTTTTGTTTTTTACTTATTATGCACGCTGATGTACACCAATATAAAGTGTACATGACTTAGAGCTAAAGTCTGCCTGATGCCTAATAAATATATACCGGATAATAATTATACCCGTTACTCGTAGAGTAAAAGGGTATACTAGATTCGTCGGAAAGTATTTAACAGGCAGAAGGAAGCGTTTCCGACCCCATAAAGTATATATATTCTTGATCAGGATCACTAGCCGAGTCGATCTAGCCATGTCCGTCTGTCCGTCTGTCTGTCCGTCCGGATGAACGCTGAGATCTCGGAAACTATGGGAGCTAGGCTATTGAGATTTGGCGTGCAGATTCCTGAGCTTCTTACGCAGCGCAAGTTTGTTTCAGCAATGTGCCACGCCCACTCTTACGCCCACAAACCGCCCAAAACTGTGGCTCCTACAGTTTTGATGCTAGAATAAAACTTTTAACATAAGTGTATTCTTCTCATCAATACCTATCGAGTGACCCGAAAAAAAAATTGCCACGCCCACTCTAACGCCCACAAACCGCCCAAACCTGTGACGGCCACAGTTTTCATGCTAGATAAAAAATTTTAACTGAAATGTATTGGTCTCGTCAATACCTATCGATTGATCCAAAAAAAAATTTGCCACACCCACTCTAACGCCTATAACGCTTAAATCTGTCTACCGCCGGTAGGTGGCGTATTTAAATCTCGATTTGCTGCTTGCATATCTCCATTTCCCTTTGGTCCCTTTAGCTGAGTAACGGGTATCTGATAGTCGAGGTACTCGACTATAGCGTTCTTCCTTGTTTTAAAATCTATAGATGCTAACATTTGTGAAAAATGTTATATATACAAAGAATTAATACAGATTTAACGGGAGTTTGGGTTTCAAAACCTACAAGTTCTCGTAGAAACCATTTTGGGATTCCTCTGGGTGAGCTCGCGATTTAAATATTTGGTGTAAAAATTGATTTGTAACGGCCATATTTTATAGGCCCATTTAATTTTTAAGTATTTGTTCTCTTCTCACTTCTAATAAAATAGTGATTTCAAAATTTTAGACTTAAAAATATAGAAGAAATAAATCATTTGGTATTAACATTAGTATTTTATAGAAAATATAGTATTTTTTCAACATTTTAAAGGCTTACATTTTTTCGAAGCTTTGTCCATGTCTATAATAGCCCTAAAGATTTTAACAAAAGATCTCAATCGGCTCTTAAGATTCAGCTAACATTTACTGGAAATTTTTACATCGCTATAATATCCAAACGCGAGCTAAGCTGGAAGAACCCGGAATGGGGCTTTATTGGATTCAATTAGTACTTTAAGATATTGGAATCAAAAATGGGGTTACACTCCAAAATCTTTAAAATGGCATATCCATTTCAAAACTTTTTAAATTATAGCTTTTACCAAATTTTAAAATATAGTTTTTATAATTTTCTAGTTCATTACAACTTGTTTTATCAAATTAGCTTTTTGTGCCAAAATTTGTTAACAAAATCGTTATCACGTCTATTGGTAATTTCCGTTTTCGAGACATCAGGAATGTACTGCTGACGTGTTGGGGAACATTAGATCGACGGGCACTCAACTCACCTGTGTGAGCATAAGAAACTGGTACCTTCCACAGTGAGATGTGAGAGGTGACGGAGGCCAGGAGCTTGCCCAGCGCCAGCGGGACTATCAGGCGGTAGTAGTAGGGGCGCGGAATGTCCTGATACTTTCGAATGCGCCACAGGTTGAAGAAAGGTCCGCTGTACAGCGTGATGCTGCACAGCTGGACCAGAGTCACCGTCATCGGGAAAGGAAATTCGTTCAGGACCATCTTGCCAATCACGTTGTTGCTCGAGGAGATCACGTACCAGAAGAGGCACATCAGCAGCACAACGGCTATGTGCCGTGACCCTGTCCGCTTGCCACCCAGCATCTTTCGTCCGGGATTGGCCCGTGCTATCGTGGATCAGGTCCGGGAGTGGATGGCAAGGCCTGGTCCTGGAGCTAGTAGTATCTGCTAACTGTCTAGCGCACAGGGCTTATTGCATTGCGCCTGGTGTGCTGGGCTTTTAAACGTAGCCTTGTCTGTTTGTTTTCTACGTGTACGGTCGATTGTCGTAGGCGACTTATCGATAGTGGTGATGATGACCGGTGGCCGCGCGATAGTATCGCGATTCATATTGCAGGGTTAGTCTGTTCAGACGAGGGTATTTCTGCATCGGCTACCAAATTCCGATTCAGCGACTTTTCTTCGATAAAGCCTAGTATTAAGATCGGTTAATAGCCTCTGCACACAGCCGCTTAGAGCCGCTGTTGCAATTTTAAGCTAAATCAATTTAAACTCTAGGATGTGGAATGTTTTTAGCGGCAAATAATTTCATAATTGCTATTAATTTATCGTGGATACGAATTTCATTCAGTCAAGCGTAGTGAAAATTGAATAGTGACTATTGTGGGCCAACAGTGACGACATGAGAATTTCCACAATTTAAGTATTTATAACACCATCCTTGCATTCAGTTCTCTAACTATATCCATTTTTAAAGCAACATTTTTGGTCAATTTTGGGAGATGGATGCGCCATCAAATGGCTTCTTCTATACTTTCTTCTACTAAAATTACCCCAAAAACTATTGAATAGAAACAATGAAATACTGAATTGATTAATAGTCAATATTCAATTTTCGCTATGCTTGCCTGAATGGAAATCTTACCCTTGATAAATTTCCTAATAGCAATGAAGAAATCATTTGGCGCTGAAAACATTTCACATGCTAGCGTTCAAATTATACATACATATTTAATTTTGCGATGTGTTGCATTTTTTTCGAAGCAACTAAGTTTTTACGTCCTGTCCCTTCGGATACGCCTTGCTTATGCCGATCAGCTCATCGATTCTTAATGTGAACAAGAATCCGCTTAAAATTGCAACAGCGATTTTAAGCATCTGTGGGCAGAGGCTTATTGTGATGTGTCAAAAACATCGATAGTCGTCCAGAAACATCGATGGTTCTAAACTTTTTAAAAAAATCGATGCATCGATGTGTTCATCGATGTTTCTCTACCTCTAGCCCTGCAAGCATTTTCTAACGCGGATGGCACTATTTAGTGACTTCTAGAAGATGAAAACGATCGTCCGCGATATGGCATTCGGATCGCGGAAGGGACTCCCGTCGAGAAAATATGTGCCACTTCGACGACACCTATCAAAGTCACTTTGGCGATACTTCTCGAAGTGACCTCGAATAGTGTTGCCGAAATGACGAATTTTTTCCCGACGGGAGTTAAGTTTTTGTAAGTCACTCAGAAGTGTCTTTTCAGACGCTTGTAGAAGATGCAAGGAAGAGCCTTTGCCAATTGGAAAATCTTGAATAAAAATATATTTATTTTTCCTTATTTAACAATATTTTGCATTTATTTTTCCTGTAAGGTCCTTGTCCGCTTGTAGACACGGTCCCTAGCATGTAGGAAATACTGCTCAACAATTTTACTTATGAATTACTCTTGGCCATTTGTAAAAAAAGAAAAATTGTATTTTTAGTTAAAATACAAATTAACTTAAAGGCATTACTTTTAATTATCGAATATTTGGAGAAGCTTTGGATGCTGGGTTTCTCTGCAGTTACACGCCAAGTAATGTCCACAGCTAGCTTGCCCGTTAATAGCTTAAAATAACCCTACTGCTTCACGACAAGCACGTAATTTCGCACCCTTTGTTGAGATGGACATTTTATGTTATTTATTTACATATGTTAAAAAAAAAAAATATTTTGAAAAACAAACCAAATTTGATATGAAATGACGCTCGGGCGAAAAATAATAGCGTGAGTCAAAAGGGAGACTCGAGGAATTTTCAGAAACAAAGGTGTTACGGCAAATTATCGCGACTTTCTATTATCGCGTGAGCTTTGTTTTTATACCCGTTACTCGTAGAGTAAAAGGGTGTACTAGATTCGTCGAAAAGTATGTAAAAGGTAGAAGGAAGGGTTTCTGACCCCATAAAGTATATATATTCTTGATCAGGATCACTAGCCGAGTCAATCTAGCCATGTCCGTCTGTCAGTCTGTCCGTATGAACGCTGTGACCTCGGAAACTATAAAAGCTGCAATACTGGGATTAGGCATGCAGATTCTAGAGATTCCTGCGCAGCGCAAGTTTGTTACGTCAATGTGCCACGCCCACTCTAACGCCCTCAAACGACTATAACACTAAAACACGTCTAGCACCCAAATTTTGTAATATTTGGTAAACATTTAAAGAGCGTTTGTTCTTATTATAAATACCTATCTACATGACAAAAGTTATTGAAATCGGAGCATTCATTAAAAAGTTTTAACCAAATAATATTCAATATTTGCAATTAATTCCAGATTGCACACCACATGCAGCAAATATGCTGTTTTCACTATAGGCGCTATAGGCTAGTTGGCGCTGTAGGCCAAGTCGCGCTATAGAAGAAGAAGATAGGTGGCGCTGTTGACTAAGTGTGTTAGTGAAAAAAGCAGAGCTTCTTTAATCATATCTCCGTCCCTCTCGCACTCCCTTAAGCTGAGTAACGGGTATTTAATAGTCGAGGCCATAGACTATAGCGAATTCTCTTTTTTTTTTAAATATGTTCGGTCGTCTTTATATCGCCCAGAAGTATCGTATTTTATAAAGGGGAATTATCGTCTTTTTATCGCCCAGATTAGTCTCAGAAGTTAATTCTTTGTGATCCCGACCCTTTTTTTTGTAAAATATGTTCTATCGAATTTCTATCTTTAAGAAGTTATATCTCGAAGCGTATTTGACTTATTACAAAAAAACAAGAAAGGAAGTTAGCTTCGGCAAGCCCAAGTTTGTATACCCTTGCAGTTTTAAGAAATAATCAATGTTAGTAACACCATGTTAAATTCTTAAGGATTGTTGCTAGCTTCAGTGATATTTGTCTAAAATTAAATTCGTAATATTCTATATCCCAGAGTAAAACAAAACACAATTAAAATCAACAAAGCAAATTTTTAAAAAAAATAATTATTTCATTATCTTTCTGAGCGTTGCTTTGACAGCTTGTGTTAGAGTCGTCCGATTTTTATTAAATTTAATTCGAAATTACTAAAAATACAAAAAATTATATTCCCAATAGTAAAAGTTAATATGTCAAAAAACACCGAAACTATAATTTGTTTCATATTATTTTCCCACCACTTTTCCGATCGTTCCTATGGCAGCTATATGATATAGTCGTCCGATTTTGATAAAATTAAATTCGAAATTCAGAACTAACTAAAAAATGTTATTTCCAAGCGTAGGAGGTTATATGTTAAAAAACACCACAGATATCATTTCTTTCGACGACTTTTTGCTTGGTTGAATACTAGGCCTTATATACTACCTGCAAAAGAAATTAGACTTCTGGGAAAGTTTCAGCCCGATAGCTTTAAAGCTGAGAGACTAGTTTGCGTAGAAACGGACGGACAGACAGACATGGCTAGATCGACTCGTCTAGTGATGCTGATCAAGAATATACGAGTATATACTTTATTAGGTCGGAAACGTCTCCTTCAATGCGTTGCAAACTTCTGACTGAAATCATAATACCCTCTGCAAGGGTATACAAAAAATATATATGTATTGCGTAAAGGTCACTTCTTAGTCACTTCTGGACCATAGAAAGACGATAAAACACATTTTACAGAAAGAAAAAGGGGCCGGGATCGCGAAGAAGTATCTTCTGAGATACTTCTGGGCGATAAAAAGACGAAGGACGTAAAACAAAAAACAATCACGCGATATAAGAAGGTCGCGATTATTTGCCTTTACCCCTTTATTTCTGAAAACTCCTCGTGTCTTCCCTTTGACTTTTGTTTGTGTTCAGTGAGGTTTTGTATCAAATTTGTGTGCTTATAAAATAATGCTTTGTTTTTCTCAATGTTTTTAATTGTATATCATATTAAAATGTCCATCTCAACAAAGGGTGCGAGTTACGTGCTAAGCGTGAAGCTGTACACTTATTTTAAGCTAGCTGTGGACATTACTTTGTGTGTAACTGCAGAGAAAGAAATCATTCAAAGATTCTACACACATTTTTAGTTTGACTGAGAAAAGAACTTTTTGTTTCAGTTTCATTTAGAAATAGCTATTAGTAAATTTCTTATGTCAAAAGAGCTGGATATAAATTGTTTAGCAGCATTTCCTACATGCCAGGGACCGTGTCTCCAGCGCACAAAGCCCTTATAAGAAAAATAAAAGCAAAATATTGCTAAACAAGAAAACAACAAATGTTTGTACTCAAGATTTTTCAATTGGTGAAGGCTCTTTTAGCTATATTCTACAAGCGTTGGGCGACACATCCAAAAGCGACTTGGGCGATATCGGATTCCGAAAAGCCACATCAGCGACACTTCCTGAAGAAACGCAGAAGTGACTTCGAAAAGTGGTATTCACTTCCGCGATCCGAATGCGATATGCCGGACGATAAATTTCATCTTCTAGAAGATATTAAATAGTGGCTTCCGCGATAGTAAAATATTTTAATACCTCCAAACTGTCGCTTAAAATCGCTGTTGCATAGTTCACTTAGAGAATCGCTGAAGTTAATTCAAGAGGTTGGCAACGAGCTTGAGCCAAATAATCAGATCGGCTAAGAGTTTCACTAGTCGAAAAATCTATTTCTCTCTCCGATTAGCAAAATGCCAACTATGTCCTTGAGGGAGTGGAAGACGGGGCTGTTCCGCTGATGCTGCAGGAAGTCGTTCAGCATCATGGCGATGGCTGGTAATGCCTCCTCCAGCTGTCCCTTAGCGGACGGTCTTTTTTCTTCCACCCTATAGAAGCCAGCACGTCCTCCAGCTCCGCTTTAGCCGCCAAGTGGTGATGGAAGTGGAGTTCTGTGAATTTTTAATGAGAGGGAGAGAGCTCGTTGGAGATCGTATTACTGGTAGTTTTGCTAGAAAGATACTTTGGCCATAACTTACATTCTTTGGGTGGAGCAACCGGCAGGATGTCTATGTAGGGAGCGAAGTCCCACTCGACATGCTCCTTCCCAATACACTTCCCAATACCTTCCATTTTTAATTTTTCGTTTCAACACCGCTTTTGCACGAGCAGACCGATAGTTTAAATTTTTTATTCTTTGCGCGGCGGCTA